ATATATATATATAGACTTGGGATCATGTAAGACCAGCCTGTTTTCGTGAGACCCGTGAGACCAACATTTTACACTTGAAACTTCACAGCAAAATGTTGTGAAGGTGACTTTTTAAAACCTTCACAGTGTTTTTCTTGTGAAGGTTCGACTTTTTTTAAACCTTCACAGTGTTTTTGCTGTGAAGTTTACGTGTAAAAATGTGGTCTCACGGGTCTCACGAAAACAGGCTGGTCTCACGTGAACCCAACCCTCTATATATATGTATATATATTAGGACAAATCATTTCTAGCTGTACAAACTCATCTATAACGTCTTTTTCTTTATCACGATTAGAATGAATTGGCAGGAAATTTAAGCTTTAAATGATGAAAAATCAAGGAAATGATGATTTTGGAAGACATTTTTAAATGTAAATAATTTGAATTTTAATCATTAATTTTATGATCATCTTTCTTTGGTTACAAATCTTTGCATGCATGATCATATCTTCAACATTTAACCTATCGCCTCCATCACTTCCACATTTTTGGAGATAAGATAAAACATATATTGAATGGTCTCTAGTTTCTTTTTCAATATCTTAGTGGGTTTAGGTTTGATTTGATGTTATTATTTTCGGATTTTATTTTATATCCTATCCTATGTGTAGCATCTGTAATTTCGTATTTATTATTAAAATATAAATTTCTGGGTTCATCAAATTATTCAGTTTCCAAATTAGAAATATTAAGCTGTCAAAACGAGTCATTAACCTCATTGGGTTCTGTGGTCTAAAAATGTTAGATTTGGGATTTTCAGTTTCCTAAGTCCAAGCAGCTTCTCGTGGGCCGAAACTGCATGAAATGTTTTCCAAGTCTTTGGGCCGAAAACGGTCAGAAAACATTCGGGGAACAATCAAGGAAATAACATAAACATAAGTGACCTGCCCACGACTTAGGTCGCGAGAAGCCTCTGAAACATCTTTTAGATTGTGTTTGGTACATGGGATAAGATAAGACGGGGCAAAAACTCATTGTCTCACGTTATTTAAGAACTCATTGTCCCATTTTTTTGGCGAGACATGGAAGAGGGACAAGAACTGGAACAATGTAGGATAGTGTGGGACAAAAAGGCTTTTTTTGTTCCACCAAAATAGGTGAAACAAGATGAGACAAGAATGAGACAGAAACTAAAATATTCCTAGTCTACCATCGTTTGATAGACAACTTAAATATAGTACTTGTTTTAATGGTCACCATCACTATTCGCGTCCTCCGCCACCACCAGCGGCCACTGGTAACCACTGTCGGTCACCCCCACTTCCTCTTCCACTACAACAATTTCTTCCACCACCTCTTCCACTACAACAACCTCTTCCACCACCTCCACCATCGACCACCACCGTCCATCGCCACCACCATTACTACCGTTGGCCACCTCCAACTCATCCTCTATTAGAACAACCTCCTCCACCACCTCCACATCCACCGACAGTCATCGACCACCATCGTCCATCGCCACCACCACCACCACCGTTGGCCACCTCCACATCCTCTTCCACTATAACATCCTCCTTCACCACCTCCACAACCACGGACCATCATCTTCCATCACCATCGACCACCACTGTCCATTGCCACCACCACTACCTCTGTTTGTCACCTCCATTTCATCCTCTACTTCAACAACCTCCTCCACCACCCCTCACGGCCACCGTCTGTCATCGACCACCACCGCTCATCAACACTACCACTAGTACCTTCAACCTTTACCACCTCCACTGTAATCACCATCACCACCATCGACTACCACTACCATTACCCACCACCACCATTACCTTCATCATTACCTTCATCATTACCTCCACCATATCAATTAAAACTACCTCCTCCTACACTTTCAACCACCACCACTACTATTTACCATCTTCATGTCCTCCACAACCATCATCAACCACCGACCACCATC